TTTCACTCCCACGCGTGGTGAGTTTATCAGGTTAGAGCAATTTTAAAGCAAAAAGATGCCTTACTTGTCGGCAGCTTTTACTTTCACTTTTAAATACATATGTACAACCGTCACCCTACCAGCCACCCCACGGCAACTATTTGCACCGACAGGATTATACCAATACCATCTCCCCTCAGGAGAATTTGTCTTCCATTCAGTCTTTCCGATCGTTTAAATGTCGCGCTCGTATGGTAATCGGAAATTTCAAAAACTCCCGCGGGCATTTAGAAGCTTATACCGCCATTGTTCAAAATGACCATATAAGACCAATTTTAGGTCTTATAACTATGCCTATTGTTATCAATGTTGAGCCGGTTTTCTTGATACGATCTTGTTCTATAGATTATTCCATATTACAGTGTCAATTCTGTTGTAAGACTGTAGCTGCTTTCTTTATATGTACATGTATGTCTCCACTAGGTTCAGCCACAGAAAACTGTAAGATTTTTCAGCCTTGACGATAATTATGCAGCTCAAAGGAAATAATTCTGAAAGTCAAGTAGAAACCAGGACAAGCTGTGGTAACTATTCAAGTTATTATTTCACAAGTTGTTAATGTTAATCTACCCATGGGTCACCCAATTTACATTTTAAAGGTTACATTATAGAAAGTTCAGAGATTGTTTGGTTCTAGATTTTTATTTACTTAGTTACAATGTATTCTTTACTTTTCTTTAAGCATACACTTCTACTTACTTGTAGTTGTTGATTGTGAGTTGAATCTTCGTTTCTCTTAGGACAATCAGAACAACCACCTGATATGACATTTGGGTCAATTGTCTGGAGAGCTCTACATTCATTTCCTGTAAGTGAGGTAATAGTGTAATATTTATTATTTTTTTAGAGGAGATGAGTGAGTTTTAGAATGTATGGATTGGAATGACTATAACGAGATGTCCAGTTAACCAAACAGTAACAATAGAGTAAAGTGATAACATTACATGTACATGTAAGTTTGAAAAGCAGTTCTTGATTTTCTGTCAAATGAACTATCTCTCTTATACATTGTAAGTGCTCCTCATGGGCTATGTTCTTGCAGTAATTCTATAATGTGCCTCAGCTTTCAGTTAAGTGCAATGACTAGTAGAATAATAACAAAACTCATGGGCAATGAAATGATAACAATAACAATAACAACAACGACAATAATAATAGTGATAATAACAATTTAATAGTAATAGTAATAGTAGTAATAATAATAGTAATAATAATAATAATAATAATTATTATTATTATTATTGTTGTTGTTGTTGTTGTTGTTAACCACCATACCTGAGGCACTGGTTTCATCTTGGTGATCTGTAGCTGAGGGTGTTTCCAGCAAGTTCTGATCTTCAAACTCTATATTCCTCTCTACTCCAATAAGTCTCAATTCTACCACTGTTTGGTGGTCACAATTGGGTCTTTGAAGAACATCACTTGATGGGGACAGAGCTGACTCATCTACAAGGTAGTCTTCTAAAGTACTTTCAGGGACTGACGTTGAAGGCTCATCTTCTCCTTGTACTGTCATGACGTCAGATTCTGGTACATGTAGAGCTTGAACTACTTGGGCAGAAAATTCAGTGAACAGTGGGCCAGTCAAATAATCTGTATAAATTCGATTAACTCTGCCATCCCCATCTTCTCCACGAATCAAGTGTGTTGGAATTATGATTTCTCTTTGTAAGCATTCTTGCCAACACTCCAATAAGTACTGCTCTTCACTCTTTAAACTGCTGGACCTGAAGTGGTGCAGTGTGGGACCCTCCTCTCAGTACTCAGCTTCACCACAGGCATAAAAAAACTCAACAAAATCATCATCTTGGGACCACCACACACCCTCTCCTGGTATCAAAAAGTCACTTATCCTCTCCAAATGTGCCTGCCATGAGCTGGGATGTTTTTTTATGAAGGTCTTTGGGATTTTTGTGTTTCTTTGTAGTGGAAGTGAATGTGCTAAACGTGAAACTTGTGACTGCTGCTTTTCCACACAGTTCTCTGATCTTCCTAATTTTTCTTCAGCCTGCAAACGAATAAATATGTTGCTGATAATGTGGGCAGGGCGATAGTTTGATGTGGTGTTAGTGATTGATTTGACAGTATTGAATGTTCTTTCTTCTTCTTCAGCATTTGAAGAGCGTCCTGATATTATTCGGAGTTGGAGTGGGGCATGAGCTGTTAGGTCATGGAAGTATGTGCCATAGAACTTCCTTACAGTCATTTTTTGAAGATCGAAACCAACAATTGCTCGACAGAGTATGTGGTGGTACCAACTAGAGTTGTGATAGCGTAAAATCAATCGTGGGGATCTCTTTTTGTCATCGTTGTAAAGAATGTCCTGCATATCAACCATTGTATCCAGAAGACTCTGCACTCTTGGGCTAGCTGTTCCTTGCACATACAAGGAGGTCGTAATCAGTGAACAGCAAAAATCAACAGCTCTTTTTGTTTCTTTCCTTCCAGTTGTTAGGCTTGCTGCTTCAAGTAGTTTCTTCTTACATCCTTCATCCTCTATGTGTACTGGTAGCTCTGTTAGTAGGTTTTCAATGTGATGTGCAATGTCATGCATTGGTTCACATGGAAGTACCTCATAACTTCCTAGATTTAAAGATTCCAGTGAGCTTTGAGGGCTACTGAAGAGAAGTGCTGGCACTCGGCTAACACCATGGAGATCTTCTTCCAAGAGCTTTTGCATTTCTTTCTTCGTCTTTCCATCATATATTCCCCTCCCTGCTAGTTCTAATTCAAGTTCTGGCTTTTGCAATGCAGTGAAAGGTTTTGGCTTTTGAAGGAGAGAGTTTCTCTTTCCTATGGGCCCTTTCAAGACTATCTTTTGACAGTCATCTAGTGAAACTGTTGTGCAGTGGAAACTGTAGGCAAGGTCGTAAACTCTGTCTGCATGGGCTCCACAACCAGAGCAGTAATAGTGGCCTCCTTTCTGTTGCCCGCTTTCAAATTCCCGAGATGGGGAATCACCATGAAAAAATCTCATAATGTCCTTAATTTCAACTCCATTTGTGGTTTTTATGTTTCTCTGGAGGTGATGCAGACAACAAAGCGTGTTTCAACATGTGCAAGTTGCTCTGCATCACAGCTCCTACACCTTGCTACAATGTAAACATGGGGCTTCTCTGCTTCAGCCTTGACATTTGCCACCTTTCCAGCTGCTTCCTTATACTCTTCATCTGTCATGTAGATGGCAGGGTCATACAAGCAGTTAACTGTGAATATGATGTGACCAGTGTTTGCTAGTGTGGAGTGGTCATGCCATATTTGAAGGTGTCTTGTTGTTGATATTCTTTGAAATTTTTTCCTCATTTTGGTGAGTCCATCATCTTTGCTGTATTCATTCAGTTTCTTCAATTGCTTGGTGACCTCCTCCCTAGACATTTCAGTGTAGTACTCATTGGGCTTGTTTTTCATGAACTTTTCTTGCATTTGCAGTGTTTTCTTTCTTATCTCTTCAAGAGGTTGCTTTCGTCCTTGCACAGTGAATGTTGTTGCTTGGATTTTGCCATCTGCATCAATGACCAGCTTTTCATACTGAAATAAGAAAGTAAAATTACTGATGCTAAGAAAGTAGAACAATTAAATAACCGATACTGCAATGCATAACACACTTTGTTTGTTTGTTTTTTTTTTTCAGAACAGCTCAGAAAAAGTTTGCAGATTTTGAAATGTTACATGTATTGTACATGTGTTTCTTCATTGAGATAGCTTTGCCCCCTTATCTCTCCAGAATTTCTTTCTTTTTTTTTAATCGTCATCGTCATTGTCATCACAGTTCATCACATGCTCACCTCTCTAGGAACAATGAGCTCTCCAAATGTAAATTCTCCTTTTTGAATCTTGAGCTTAAGCCTTTGCTTTAATGTATCATTTGTTTCTGGTGTGGGGATGGAGACTTCACCAGCAAGCCCTTTAGTTTCTTTCTTCGGGGCTGTCTTTCAGCTTCAGAGGGTCGTTTAAATCTATGCAGGTTGACACCTTGAGATATAAGCCATTCCTGTGCTATTTGGCCATCATTTTTAGCAATTTCTCCCTTCTTGTTCTTTATTTCATATCTTCTTGCAAGCTCAGACCAGTTGACCTTGGTGTCATCTTTGTATCCCTCCACTTCAAGCTTTAACCCATTCTAGTTCCATGTCATAACGTCGAAGTTGCCAGCATGACGTTTTCTTTTCACAGGGGCTGTTGCTTCAGGTTCTGAACTGGTCTCCTTTCTTTTTATTGCAGCTGGTTTGGTCTCAAACGAAGAATCAAGACGGTCTCGTTGTCTTGTCGCTCACCAAGACACCTGAAAGATAAAATACGATTTACGTACATGTTTCAAACTTTGGACAAGTAAATGTAGCTTTCCTTGCGCTTGTTGAAGTCAAGGTTCATAAAGAGCCTATAAAACATGTACACTGAGCAGGTTGTTTATAAATCTTTTACCAGTCGAGAAAGGCTGGAGGTTAGTTATAATTGACAGATAATACATGTAAGTCAGGGAGAGAATAGGAATAAAGAATTCTATCTTGATGTTTGATTGTTATTTTTTTTTTTTTTCTTGAGGCCTCAATTTTATCATGTATGTTCTTTTTAATGTCTGCAGTAAATAGACTCTTTTTTACTTACTCGCTCACCCATTCACACTGAATAATTACCTTAAAAGGGAAGTCTTTTCCCATTCATCTTCTACTTTCTGCTTGTATTTTCTGTAGCACTGTCTCTGTTCTCTCTTGGCTTCGGTTAGGGACTTTCTCTTCCGAAGCTGGAGCTCTGGGAGTTTGGTTAAAACCTCTCCAAAGGATGTACTGCATACTTTCTGAAAGGTGGCATCTATTTTGTTGTAGAGAGCCCTGGCAATGTCTTTGACTTCTCCTGCTTTCCTTGGTCTAATCTTCTCTTTGCCAGCAGTAAAAAAGGGATTTTCCTTTGCTATCCCCAAAAATTGATTCGACTTCACAGGGAGTAAAGCTTGAATATGGAACGCCAGAACTGTCTTATGATACTTTTTTTTATTATATTGGGTGGTTATGTCATTATATTGAGTAGTTATGTTATTATATTCGGTGATT